GTGTTTTTGGTTTCCAAGTTATTTTACATGCGGATTTAGGGTGGTTTAAAAAGGCTTCTTTTCCAGACATATCTAAAACGACCATCAAGAACATGCAATTCTCACAAAGTTCTTTCTGGTCCTAAGTCAGAAGTCAAGTACGGTGGCGCGGGTATCATTTTCTTTCTTGTCAGGGAAGTCAAGAATAAAATAGGTCGAATACTGTCCTCACATGAGGACAGTGGTCCGATAGACACTAGCCTAACAAGGCGACCCTCCCCCCTGGAATACAAAAGACGGGTTCGTGGAGACGGAAGGAAGCCGGATCAAACGTATTCAAAATCTTGACGCGGCTGCCAAACAAAGCGAACGCCATTTATCCATGCCCAAACGATGCTGGTCAGCTGACATCGTATTTTAGCAAATCTTGTGGAAAACCGATACAAAACTCGATGCACGTCCAAGAAAACATTTTCAAACCAAATGGGTGTGCCGGGGTCGGGGCATTGCATCAAGAAATTGAAACAGAAAAATATACCTACACATTCAGCTCACAGACATGACGTCTGAACGTCTCGTTGCCTAGACTGTGTGCTCGACGGAAGTGACTCGGCGTTTGACGAAAGAAACGGTCTCTTCTGAAGTGAAGGACACACCTCTACTTGCATCCTCCGCCTCTGTCAAATGCGCCATATGCAGCGGAAGGTCATGGTTGTCTGGCGAGGTCGAGGAGCGAAGGAGGTCTGTGGGACAATTGCAACAACAATCAATGACCCATCGGACGAGGTAGATGACGTTGACAATTACGAACATACACAAGGCGAGAAAGGAATAGTTCGATTGCCACGGTAGCTCCTGATTGGGGTCAGCAGTCGGCAGGGCTGGAAGGTTAGGCGGTACGGGTGAGGGCAACGGCATGGCTTCGGACGAGTGTGCGGTGAGCGAGAGTGTTAGAGTTGCGGCGAGGAGAAAACCGGAGCGGACGAGGCAACGGGACGTGGAGTTAGTGCAGTCGATCTTGGCAAACAAGGGTGGTGTTCAGTCAGTGGGTCGTGCGTGTTGTTGGTTAAGGTTGGACGAGATGTATCGAGGGCGGTGAGGATAGCAGAGTGGAGACGGAAAAGAAGGAATCAACTGCATTGCTCCGGGTAATTTAAATAGGACGAGTGGGGATGGTGGGGATGGTGGGGATGGTGGGGAGTGTGTGTTGCGGATGGGGAGGGGGAAAACTAGGGAGGGATTTGGGGTCAATGGGGGGGGTATTCAATATTGTGCCAGCAATGCGACCTGCTGTGGTTGGCTCGTGCGAGCCAATAATAACATGCGTAAATTATCATCCCATTCCCATCAGATGGGAATGGGAAATGCGGTGCGAGGAGGTGCAGCAGCGGCGGGGGGTAACAGCTCATACGCCCCATACCAGCGGGCCACTGCCAAAAATTAAAATTGTGTGAATCTGCAAACTATTTATGCACAAGACGCAAGATAGAATGGCTGTGATAGAAGCGATGTTTTTAAACTTTGCCGCTTTGCTCGCGAGAGAGGGGTTCGCGCGGGCCATGGAGATAGGGATGGTCGATAAGCGGGTAGGGCGGGTAGGAGAGTACCGTATGAGAGACGAATATTGCCATGTGTTATACGGGTCCAGCAAGACCCCGCGCACAATCCCGCCGCGGCGGTGGTGCGCGGCGGCACCGCCGCGGCGGTGGGGGCACAGGGGACACAGATGGGAGAGGGGACACAGATTCTGTGCCCCCACCACCGCGGTGCTGTGATGCGCGCCTGCACCGCGCATCACCGCATCCTATCTTGCTATCCATCACCTACCCGTCACCACTACCACCACACCTCTTGTTTATCCAGCCATCCAACCATTTCTTTTTCTTTAATTTTTTCCTCAACCCCCGTCTCTTCCCAAAACCCCTGTCCCCAAAGTTCCCACCCCTTTCCAATCCCAAACCCATCTCCTACACAACTGTACACTACAGTACATCGCCCAGTGTATAAGCTTCGCCCCACCCCCCACCGCCCCTCAGGCCTCAGGCCGTTGACCCCGGCAGATACCCGACTCCTCTACGACTCCTTTAAAGAACGAATCCCCCCATCCCTTTCCCAACGGCTACGTCCTATCCCCCTCCCACATCCCGCTCCTTGACACCCTCCTGCCCTCTCGCCCTTCATTTTTTCTCACTTGAATTCCCCCACTGCCCGTCCGCAAACCCATCACCTGGTGACGGTCTTTGCGTCCACAACCCGCCTCGCTCACCCTTGTTCACGAAAACCACACACATGCCTCTCAGAAAAGCAAAGCGTACATTGCTGCAAGCGTATGGCGCTGAAGAGAGAACAAAACTTGGACAATAATCAATCAATTGTAACGGATTTCTTCAAGTAAAACCGCGTTGTAAAACAGTGAAAAGTGATTTGCGAGATCCTCCCTTAAGTAGTGCAATACGCTAATAGTGCAGTATTCCACCGCGTGGCCCTCCTTCTGTTTACACCCCCTCTTCCGCCTGCTCCCTGTGATTCCCCGCAGCGACGGCACAACGAAGACACTGACCCGTCTGTACTACCTGACGGGCTTCGCTTTACACTGGACGTGTTCCAATCCAACCCAAATAAAATGCAGTGCCAGTCGAACACCTCCCTCTCCGTTTCACTTGCCCGCATGCTGTGTTCACTGCGCACCACAATGCCGTGATGACGCGGGGGTGTGGGAGCAGCGACTGCAGGCTCACAATCAAGGTGTGGAGAGGAGTGGTGTAGTGCGGAGTGAGGATAGGCTGTACCGTTCTCGTTCTATTCGCTGTACTGGACTACTACTCACACCTTTTCATAAGCGCTTCCTCTTTAGATTGGCTTCCTCACAAAGACACCAATCATGGATTGGAAACGCCCCATGCCGCCGCCTTCTCGCAAGAGATTTGATGCCCATGTCACGGCCGAGAGACACTCGTGTGACGGCCAGGCTGCTGCGGCGCTCAGCCATGTGTGGCGTTTCCCGGGGCGAGTGCCTCCGAGAAGACTAGTCTGGAGTGAATAAGTGTTCTGTCCTTTTATTTCTCTCGTCGACACGAGACTATGGGTCTTTAAATACCTGCCGTATGTAGTGCTCGAGTGTCCTTCCACGCCGTCTCGGATACTGCAGACAGTGGGAGGTGGGCTTGTGTACGTTTGCAATGTACAAAACTCTAACGATTAGATGCAAACGGTTCCAATCTTGTGTACAGTATACCGTTCAAGCGAGTCCTTCACGAGCGCGGGCATGTGACCGGCAACGAACAATTGCGTCCCAGGCGCGTCACAGGCGCACCACCATGTAATGTGTTACAGTTTGTGCGTGAAGATGCAAGATATGTGCGGTATGCTAGCTTCTGCTGTACATACGTTAAACTGCCAAACTCCGGCACACGTGCATCCACTGCGCGTTTCGCTGACGTCTGTCCAAGGTTTGGACTGCAATGTGGTCTTGCAATGTGGTCTACTAGAGGGGTTTATGACGCTAGTTGGGACCGGTTATCCCGACGAACGTGGACTCAAGCGTGACCACAGGTCTGTACTCATGGTCTATGGCGGTCTGACAGGGGGTGCTTTGTTATAATGTACGCCATACTATATATAAATATATAAATGGTACTCTCGGTAATTTCTTGTAGAGAAGTCAGACTCTTAACCACTCAAGCAACGGAGCAGCGAACATTCTTGGTACTGTAACATTACATGTTGGTTCCCGCATGCCGACAGCAGCGCCCAGAGACTGTAAGACACTCGAGTTTCTCATCCTGACACTGTTGTCACTTGTGTCTAGAAGCCCAGGTCGACTCGCTCTCTAGAACCAATCTTAAATTTGGCGTGTACGGTGGCAAGATATCGGCATTTACCGTGAAATGAACACAACAATTACCGAAAGGCAATTCAGGAGTTTGTTGTACGGTTGACATAACGCGATGCGTGTAGCACTCATATCTACAGTCTACACAGATTTTAGAGCAGTGCAGGTACCAGTCACTGCAGTGCAGATCTCGTCGTGCAGACCACGTATCGCATTGCTGTGCCCGAAGCAGAAACACTTTTCGACAGAGATGCAAACACATTGTAGTTACGTACCCTTCGAGTGCATACCCGCCTGCTGTATCTTTCAGGCTGAGTCTCTAGTGCGATGTCCTATGCCCTCCCTTAGGCCTCGACAGTTCATCGAAGTGGTCATATTGTGCAATATGCCGGTAGTCGCCAGTGCGGGCACAAGGATGGCCAGCCCAAACGCCTACATGTCAGCCAAGATATCATGACGTTTCGACTACAAAATGACCGACAGAGAAGCGACAGGTGACGGTGAGTAGGAGATATCAGGAGCTCTCCAACGTGTTGCCTGGTAAGATCTATAAAGAATTGTTCCTTACGTAGTGTCAATAATACAAACCCTAACAAATCTAAATCATATATCCAGTGCAGTATGGCAACTAGCCCTACACTCGGCCGTATTCTCTTGGAGGGGACGGGGTTGGAGCATTGTACCATTTCGCGCTTTTCGTTCAACGAAAGGAGCGTGAGGCATTAATTTCAAGGCATGTGCCGGACGCATTCACGCCTGCACATTTCTGATTGTTTTGTCGCTGCAGATATGGAAACGGGGTCCTTCAATTTTCGCAATCTGAGAGCATCTCCACCGCGGCAGCAAATCCGGTCCAAATATGATATTTACCAAATCAGGGTAAAGTTTGGTCTCCACTGTGGGATTTCGTGAGGAATTCCTTTAAAGAATTAGAAAAAGAGATTTTATTAAAGTGTCAATGGACAGGTCTACGACCGACCGTCCGAGCCCGTGCGAAGTCCGTGCAGTCGGACAGTTTTCGCAGGTAGGCTCTGCGTTTTGACACAAACCTCTGGGCCGGAACGAACCTACAGTCCGAAGCGCGAGCCCTACTTATATACTACTTAACCCTTACAGTACCATAAAGAAAGACAAGTTCTGACGCATCCAGCAACAACACAAATGGATGCGCCTCCGTATCATAATTGTTTCACACTGCCACTTTTCCGATGGCAGAACTTGGCTGTGTACGATAAATCCACTTCTTGACCGGATTGCGGTCATAGCCACTACTTATAAGCCTCTCAAGAGCGTTGTTAGGGGTCTCCTTTGTGAGACCGTCTGCTATGTTGTGTTCTGACGAAACAAGGCCTACGTGCGAGATTTCTTGTCGGTTATAGCATTCCCTAGCTGAGGCTATGTCTATCATGAGCCTTTTCTCAGTGGTGGACGAACCTTTTGTAATCACATCAAACATTTGTAGTGAGTCCGTAAGCATATGCAGAGGGATCTTCATTCCAAAGATCGTTTCCAAGTCGTGTCTCAGAATGAAAGCACGATCAAAACCGGAAGCAAAAGCGTATACATCTCCTCCCAGTATAGACCGAACTACCCTCTTCGACTTTCTGCTTGAATATTCCAGTATGTGAGCACGATCTGAAGTATCACATAGCAGAATTATGAACCCGAGTTGCGACGAAAGATCATCATTTCCGGCAAAAGAAGCATCAGTGTAAACCCTCATGTGAAGAGAGTCCTTCTGCAATGGGTAGAAATTTAGACACCTGCTATGTGTCCCTTTCAGGTGTTTAACTGTGCAATTGAAAGACTTCAGTTTTTCTATCCCGAAAGTCTTCTCCGTTACTTGCGCGGCTTTGTTTATGGCACATAGAGCGTCAGGTCGTGTGTAGCCAATCCATGCCAGGACAGACCGGTAAGACCTAAAACGTTCAAATGATGCGTCCATTGGTATATGCTTAAGCTTCTTTGTATAAGCTTCCTGTGTAACTGAGAACGAGCCGTCTGCATGAGTTTGGATTGAGGTTCCGAAGAACTCAAAGTTGTCCCAAATCTCGTTCCTTTGAGTCAAACTTCTTGAGAGAAAGTTTGGTAAGCTCTTGCATGTCATCATTTCCACCAAGGAAGCTGTCATCGACGTACATTCCAAGCAGGCCGTCAAGGTCTTCCTCGTTTCGTTTCACATACAACGAGGGGTCCCCAAGTAGAGGAACTAGGCCTAAATCACGCTTGACGTGACGGTCAACTGTAACTCCCCAATAGTCTCCAGCGTCTGTCATACCATATATAGGCTTAAGAAGTTCGAGTATGTCCTCCTCACAAAGACCAAAATACTTGAGATCTGCCCTTTTTGGGAGGAGAAACACCTTGCGTGTCAGTTTTTCCTCGCTTTGTAGGTAGGCTTGTCTCACGTCATGAGAAAAGAGGCGAAATCCTTTGATCGCAGATACCGACACAATGATCCGAGTCGAACTTTGACGTAGAGTCGTAATGTTGTGGACCATATGTGCTTTTTCTTGATCACGGTTGCCTTGGGCAACGTAGCGAGCCTTAGCGCGTTCGTCTGTAGAACCGAAGTTCTTCAAAGTGAGGACGAAACGACCACTTAGGACATTTGTCTTGTGGGGCAACGACGTTTTGGGAATTACTTGCCATGTTTCCCTTTTTTGCAGTCCGTTCACCTCCTCCTCCATGGCCTTACAGAACTTAGACGACTTTGTAGCGATGTCGCTTTGATCAATGACCTGTGTCATGAGTGCTTGCGTTTCAGACGTGATCTCATTTCTTGTGAGCATGTCGGGGGTGCTTAACGGCACATTTACATCCTGTCGCGCAGTATCGCTAAACCCGTTTGGTGCTGGAGGAGGCGTCCCCCTGATTCTTTCAAGTATCGTGTCTATATCCCTTAACACATCTTCATTGTCGGCAGTGAAATTGTATGAATCATCGATATTCACTGCAAGCGGTGTGCAGTCTGGGATAACAGGAGGGCTGTTGTATGATTTAACTTTGTCGATGGATGTATTCATAATCTTTCCCTCGAGCTGTATCGTTACACTCTTGTCTTTGACATCAAGAACAAGGTATGGTCCAGTCCATTGGTCCTCTGGCTTTTCTCGATAGAGAAGTACACGAGAGCCTATTACTATATCCTTGTCCGCTGCGGATGGGACGTTCATGCGCACGGCCCTAGAAAGTCGTTCCTTGGCCATGACAGACGCCATCTCTTTTCGCGCAGATTCCATAGCTTTCATACGGTTCATCTGCGCGGGTAAGTCCATAGGAACAATTGGTATCCTTGGCATTGCACCAAACACGAGGAGCGTAGGTACCAAACCATGATATCCTGCCGTGTCATTCATTGCTTTTAATGACAACGAAAGACAGTGACTCCTTTCAATCCCTGGGTGTTGGAGTCGGACTTTGCGATATATATCCCTCAGAAAGGCATGATATCGTTCTCCAACGCCCAAAGCATTATGACTCTGCACCCCAGACTGGAAGTGCTTGATTCCCGCCAACAACAAGAGCGTCTTCCATCGTTGTGACTTGAACTGTGGTCCTTGGTCTGTTGCCATGGCGTCGGGAAACCCGATGTACACACAGACCCAAATGTTCATGAAAGTGTTCCAAGTTGCGTCTGCAGTCTCCTTTCCGAGGAATGCAGCTGCAGAGAACTTGGTGTCCTTGTCCACAACATGCAGTACTGGTGTGTTCTCCAGATACATAAGGTCCAAACATAAGGTTCGATTGAACACTACATCCGCATCAGGTAATGAAGCTCTGAAACGATGAGGGGCCCGACTGCGACGTTGGAAAAGATCGCACGTAGAGCTGATTCGTTTCAAGGTCCGGAGTACTTCCGGTGATGTCTTATCGGGTTCAGCGCGGCTCATTACGGAGTAAAGGCGCTCAGAATCAGGATGATGAAAGTGTCTGTGTACTTTCATAAGTTCGGACTCCGTGAATAATATGTTCGGTCCCCATTCATAGTACAGGTGACCAAGTTTCTTCCGAAGGCGTATCTGCCACCCTTCAAGCTTCGAAGATAGCATGCCCTTATCCGTATCAACTACCATCTTGTATTTCTCCATGTTGTCCAGTCCAAGGAGAAAGGGAACATTGGTATCTACAACTTCAACCGAGAGAGAAATGAAGTGTGTTGGTGCTATTGGGACCCGCACTGTCAACAAACCAAGCCCGAGATGTTTGTGCGTCCCAAAGCTGAAAACGTTCTTGGCATTTGATGTTGAAGGACTGTAGGGGACATTGAACAAGCTACAGTATGCTTTGGCTTGCTCAACACCAACGACAGATTTTTGAGCGGCTGAATCTATGCATATCCCGTGAAAGGGGTCGCTTACAGTCACGTTCCATGACTTGCTTGTGAGGTAGACGTGGTTAATAGCGTCACAGCCTGAGTCCGTGGGATGTTCTGTGGAGTCGACATCATCCGTTGTGTCATTTCCGCTTAGAATGCTTTCAAATATAGTTATGTCCGTCGTTTCTGTCTCCTCTTCCGAGTCATCTTCCGGCACAGAGCCAATGTCAAGTTGTTTGCATAAGTCGGCGAGGACATGATGGACGGCAATTGGCTTTGTGTCTGCCTTCTTTGCGTAGTATTCCATCTTACGGGTTGCTGCTCTAGATGTGTTGAGCGGGAGAGTGCAGTCCCTGAGCAAGTGGTTACCTCCACAATTGAAGCAACCCGATACTGTCAGCGGGTTGAACTTTACCTTCTGCTTAGTCGTAGAGGGTGATCTGAAAGCCCTTCCGCCAAAGCGAGGCTGCCGGGTACTTGTCTGGTCTCGTTCACGCGGGTAGGGGGAATTGTTGTAATACCTGCCCTGTCCAGTGTACAGAATGCCGGCCCAGCTGTCATGGGAAACGGAACGCTGATTCAGTTGTGCATGATCGCGAATGATTGCTATCTTGGACTCTTTATCCAGTTGTAGCGCTGCTTCAAGCTCTGAGTAGAGTTGTTGGAATGTGAGTTGGTGCGTTGCCACTCTACTGAGCGGTTCGCTGGACCATGGCATTCCTACAACAGCATTTCGGAGGAATTCAACCTTGTGAGCGTCTCCTTGATGGGAGCGCGGACCTTGACGGGAGAATATGATAATTGACTTGTAAGTCAAAGCTAGAGCAGCGGACATTTCCTTCCCTTCTGCAGCGAAAACAGTCACGCGGAGGGAGTTGAGATAGTTCTTGACCCGAGTTTGGCGGACAGGGGAGTTGTACTCCTCCTCGAGCATTTGGATAGCTTGCTGAAAGCTGGTCGCATATCCATCGATTTTGTCAAGATAATACCTTTTAGCATCCCCTCGCAGTAAATTGTGAAGAAACTGGAGTCGCTGAGGAGGACTGAGGTTGTAGTCCCTGGAAATCTGAAGATAGTCGTCTACATACTCCATCCAGGACTCGCCCAAGTCCCCTGAGAATTTCTTCTCTTTCTCCTTCATTCGCATAGCGACGTTATGGGCTACCTTCTCAGTCGGGGTACTGAAGGATCCGCTTGTCCTTGGCACGGGTGATTGTTCACCATGGGAGGAAGAGCTGGGAGCATGGGGGCGTTGGCGGCGTCCTGCAGCAATAATTTCACGAGCCATTTCAATTGCGGCTTGTGTGTCCTCTGTCTCTTCATACAAACCGTGGGCTAGTGTCATGACCACACGATGGGAAGAGTGTTGCGCTAAGTTTGCTCCTTTCGCGTCAAGAAAGTTTCGCAACTCTATATGCACCGCAGGAAGGTCACATATTTCCTGGCGGAACAGCGAAGCTGGTGGAAACATATCAGCTACAGTCCTTTTCAAATGGATACCGGTGAGGTCGGGCGTAGTCTCAAGGAAGCGAATAGACGATATGAATCTCTTTTGTGCACTTGTTAGAGCTGTAAGGGCATCGTTTGTTAACCCCCGCATAAATGTATAAGCGGGGGGCGCGGGTGCATCGTCTCCCACTTGTTGGCTTTGTGGAAGACTGGCCTCGTCACCAACTGGGGTAGTGGGAGGCATTTTGCTTACCACTTAGTTAAGTGGTGACGGGTGGTGTTGCCAAAGAAAACAATAGCAACAAAAAAAAACTTGACAACTGCGTCGATCGTAGATCGGTTGACCTTGTAAGGGTCCGACCCTCGGCGCCTGCAGCTCTTGCAGGTAGAAGAGGTCCGACCTCTGACGCCCGGAGCCTGTCCGGGTCAGGTAACGTCTTCAGCTGTCAACCTACTCTTGCGTTACGAGAGTAGGCGCGATGGTCCCTACGAGACGTCCACACCAGCCAGTATACAGGCCTAAGGGGTGTCTAGTCTCTTGCGGGACACTTGCGCGACCGCTAGTCCAGTAGTCGAAACCCTTGTCTACCCAGCGCACAACACCCCGGAAGATCACCACGCCCGGAAACACCAGGCCCGAAAGCCGACACCGTTATCTGCCCCGAAGGACCGGTGGGGTTCCCTGCCGGAGAGGGTCTCCTCACGGTTCGAGTTGCCAGCCTCGCGTCACCAGGAAAAAGATCCCGGGTCAACCGCTCTCAGGCAAAACAAGGGTCTCTTCCACGTTCCAGCGCCAACAAACCACTACCTCCACTTCCAACTGACCTTCAGACAAACACACAACAACCAAATCAAACAATCCTTCCTTCTTCCAAACGTTTGTGGAGCGAGCGACGCGGCACAGCACCGACGCGGAGAGCGCGGGCGTGTAAGCAGCAGCAAGCGGCGGCGGCAATAGTAGCGTGTGGTTGCAGCAGCAAGCGGCGGCGGCAACAGTGGAGAGTAGTTGCAGCAGCACAACGGCCGGCGGCAACAGAAGAGAGCAGCGGCAGCAGAGAGCAGCGGCAGTGACGAGCGGCGGCGGCAACAGTGGAGAGTAGTTGCAGCAGCGACGAGCGAGCGGCGGCGGCGAGCGGCAGCGGCGAGCTGCGGCGGTGCGCGGCAGGAGTAGCAGCTCAGAGCAGCAGAAGCGACGGGCGAGCGGCGGCGGCGAGCTGCAGCGGCGCGCAGCAGGAGTACCAGCACAGAGCAACAGCGGCGGTGGTGTAGAGCGGCGGCGCGCGGCCTCAGAGAGCGGCGGCAACGGTAGCGGCACAAGCGAGCGGCAACAGCAGCAGAGAGCGACAGCGCCAGTGGAGAGCGGCGGCGGCACCTGGGAGCGGCGGCGGCAGTAGCAGGCGGCAGCAGCAGGAGTCGTCGGCAGCAGTAGCGGGCGGCAGCAGTAGCACAGAGCGGCAGAGCACGGCGGGAGTGCGAGCAACGGCGGTAGCAGCAGAGCGCGACGGTAGTAGCGAGCGGCGGCGGCGAGGGGTCGTGTACCGGCGAGACGCGACGAGTTGTGCGCACACGCAAGTGGGAATCGGCCGCAGGAACGGGAGGCTGGAGATCGCTCGCGCAAGGATTTCACGGATGGCCAATGGGAAGAGGGGAAAAAGAATCGAATTCGAAATCAGCAATTAATTAATGTGGGATTTCGTGAGGAATTCCTTTAAAGAATTAGAAAAAGAGATTTTATTAAAGTGTCAATGGACAGGTCTACGACCGACCGTCCGAGCCCGTGCGAAGTCCGTGCAGTCGGACAGTTTTCGCAGGTAGGCTCTGCGTTTTGACACAAACCTCTGGGCCGGAACGAACCTACAGTCCGAAGCGCGAGCCCTACTTATATACTACTTAACCCTTACAGTACCATAAAGAAAGACAAGTTCTGACGCATCCAGCAACAACACAAATGGATGCGCCTCCGTATCATAATTGTTTCACATCCACCGCGACACAAGAACGCAAATTGCATCGTAAATCGAATTCTAAATCGGCGTTTGGAGTTTTTCTCGTGGCAAATCAGGCCGATTTGCAACGAGATGTATCCCAAAGCGATTTTTGCCACGAGCTCGTCGTAAGCTGATTAGGGCGCGCGACCATTAATTCCGATTAAATATCACAGTACAAACACCTGGGGTGGCGGGAAGCCAGCTAGCAACTACATGTGGGCGCGAAAAACAGAACAGCGGGGCCTCAAAAGGCATCCGAAATCACGTCATCCTCGTCATCGTCTGTAAGGAAGTCCTCAATGTCGCACTCGTCATTTCCCTGCGCAGCGGCGCTGCCTTCGACCGCCTCCAGCCACGCCATCGGTTTTAGGGTGCCAAAGTCGTCCAGCGAGTCCATGTCGTCCTGCGGGTTAACGAGTGCGCGCGATGGAGACGAGCAGCGCATTTGGCATATCGCATTCCTAACGATTTGGAACATGCGGCGCCCAAAGACAGCAACCAGCTAGAAAACTGACACGCGTCCTAATTGGAATAGATTTAGCTGCAGCGCTGGAGATGCTCTGAGGAAGTTTCGCAATCCGAAGAGTCTTGGCAAGCTCTTCGGCCTGCGGAGCCTTTCATTGGACAAGGGTTTGCTCCTCCATCTGCCACTGGGGTACTGCCACACATCACACGTGTACACTTGTCTAACTCAATGTGACCATCGCATGCTACCTTACCGCGTCTGGATTTTCTCAAAGTAGCCTTATAAGGCGACCCTCCCCCCTGGAATACAGAAGACGAGTTCGTGGAAGCGGAAGGAAGCCGGATCAAACGTATCCAAAATCTTGATGCAGCTGCCAACCAAACCGAACGCCATTTATCCATGCCCAAACAATACTCGTCAGTAACAACGTATTTAGCAAATCTCGTGGAAACCCGACACATAACTCTATGCACGTCCAAGAAAACATTTACAAAAGAGATGGGTGTGCTGGGGTCGGGGCATACCATCAACAAAAAGAAACAAAAAAATAGACCTACCCATTAAGCTCACGGACATGGCGTCTGAACGTCTCGTTCCCTAGACTACGTGTTCGACGGAAGTGACTCGGCGGTTGACGGAAGAAACGGTCTCTTCGACAGTGGAGGACACACTTCTACTGGCCTCCGCCTTTGTCGAATGCGCCATAGCCGGCGGAAGGACGTGGTTGTCTGGCCAAGTTGAAGAGCGGAGGTGGTCGTGGTTGTCTGGCAAAGTTGAGGAGCGAAGGGGGTGCGTGGGACAGTTACAACACCAATCAACGACCCATCGGACGAGGTACACGACGTTGACAGTTACGACCATACACAAGGTGAGAAAGGAATAGTTTGATCCCCACGGTAGCTCGTGATTGGGATCGGCAGTCGGCAGGGCTGGAAGGCTAGGCGGTGCGGGTGAGGGCAGCGGCATGGCTTCGGACGAGTGTGCGGTGAGCGAGAGTGTTAGAGTTGCGGCGAGGAGAAAACCGGAGCGGACGAGGCAACGGGACGTGGAGTTAGTGCAGTCGATCATGGCAAACAAGGGTGGTGTTCAGTGGATGGATCGTGCTTGTTGTCGGTTGAGGTTGGACCAGTTGTATCGAGGGCGGTGGGGATGGCAGAGTGGAGACGGAAAAGAAAGAAGCAACTACATTGCTCCGGGTAACTTAAATAGAACGGGTGGGACGGATGATTCGGGTGCCGCGTGTGGGAGGGGGTGCGGAGGGTGGGCGGAGGAAGAATGGTAAGGTAAGAAAGAAATTCTTCCGAACAATGTTAAGGTATCGCGAAAAACCAAAAATGTACTTATATAAACCCCTATCCACTGTAGGCCCCCGACACCGCTAAAACCCCATATATATGGCGGCCTCACGGCCACGATGTGCGCATCATGCGTCATGCGCAATCGGCCAATCATTGCGCATCATGCGCAATGATTGGCCGACAGGCCGTCAGGCGCACTTCCCCGGCCGCGCGCTGTTGCGAGTGTGTGAAGTTGTTGACAACTTCGGGAGCAAGGAGAAAGAAACATTGCTGCCGCCCCTTCCTCCCTTATCTTTCTATCGCTATTTTAAACGAATGGCGGTGGCTCGTGTTATGCCAGCAATGCGACCTACTAAAGTATTGGCTCGTGCGAGCCAATTCAGAGAATGGATAACTGCGTATCATACCATTCCCACCGGCAGGCTCGTGCGAGCCAATCCTGCGAGCCGTACCATTCTCATCCCATGTGGAACACATTCCGCCATTCAGAGAATGGATAACTGCGCCTAAACATTCATTGATTTTCGAGGCAAAATTTAGTCCGCGAACCAGCGCCCGTGAAAGACTCACCGCATTTTCGCAAGGCAATTTGAACGGTATTTCCATCATCAATATCCGCTGCCCTGTTGGGGGTTAGTGGTCATATGTGACCACTAAAAAAACATCGATTTTTAATCACATTTTCAGGAAAAGCCCCGTCTTGGTAAATGTTGGAGATTCAAATGCGAGTATTTCATTGTTCTGGCCGTATTTAAGTAACGAAATCGTGAAGATGACCGACTGAAGACTGAAAAAAAAGGAAGCAACTACATTGCTCCGGGTTTAAATAGGGGTGTGTGTGTGAGGTGAGTGAGGTGAGGTGGGGTGGGCCGGTGAAGGCGAGAATGAAGGCGAGAAGGGAGGCGAGAAGGGAGAGCGGGAATTGGCGAAATGACCGTGGCACGGGTTGCCAGCAATGCTGTTCAGGCGTAGATGCGCAGATGCGCAGTAATTTACTGTATGGGCAACCCAGGAAAATTTGGGACAAAGTAGGGTTGCGATAACGAAGGTAAACCTCACCTACCTTGCTGTTTGGGAGCGATCTAGTGTCGTGAGTGATGTCACACCCCTGTTCACCCCTGTCAACAGGGGCTCGTTCTCATCATCATTGTCATATGAGGCCGGCGATGTCCTCATATGAGGACAGCTCTTTTTTTGCAAAAATATATAAACTAAATTGAACATTCAAAAAGCTACCTTGAGCACTATTTCCTTCACGTGCTTGTTTTCGGCAATCTTGCAGAACACCGGGATAGCAGCTTTGAATACGCAAAAAGCTTAAGAATATAATGCAGATTGAGTACCAAGTTGCCTTTTTCAACTGGTGTTTTTGGTTTCCAAGTTATTTTACATGCAGTTTTAGGGTGGTTTAAAAAGGCTTCTTTTCCAGACATATCTAAAACGACCATCAAGAACATGCAATTCTCACAAAGTTCTTTCTGGTCCCAAGTCA